AGAGCGAGAGGGAGAGAGAGCACAAAGAGAGAGAGAGAGAGAGCGAAAGATAGTCCGAAAAAAACACACATTCTTAAAGACTGCAATTACCGCACAGACACAGCTCAAAGAGCATAATGAATGAACATCATTATGCGCACAATAATAATGTTAATAAGAATCATAATTATAATGACGATTATGAAGAGCAGAGCCTACGTTTGAGTAGATGTGTGTGTGTGTGTGTGTGTGTGTGTATGTGTGTGTGTGCTTGTGCACAACAAACATTTATTCAATTATACATACATATACACATATACAGAGGGCCGATAAGAACTTCACACACATACACACATAGCTACAGGTATCTGTGTGACCCTGTCCTAGGCCTACACAATTAATAAGGAACTCATACAATTCTAAAGCCCACAAAACCAAAGCAAAGTAATATTGTTTTTGATTCGATTAAATGCAGAAAGCGATTAACCGAACAGGAAAAAAATTTTCAATATATTATATTATATTAAGAAAGCGCTTCAAATCAAGTTCATAAATAAAGAAAAGCTAACAAAAGCCAAAAGACATAAAATATTTAATAAAAAACAATTTACAAATAAGAATTGCATTTATAAATATAGTTTTTTATAATAAAAACTATATAAATATTTATTAATTATTATTATTTTATTACGTAAACAAATACTAATTTTTTGTAATTAATTAAATCTTTTATTTATATTTTTACTATACATTAAAACCAAATACAAAATTAAAAATTAACAACTGCACAAAAAATTCAGCAAATCATATACAAATATGTAAATGCATAAAATGCAAAAATTGAAAACAAAAGATATATATATATATATTTATATAATAAAAAGTATATACAAACAAAATTTAAAAAATAATGTACAAATTTATATAAATATTTATATATATAAATATATAAGAGATAAGTTTTTAAAATATTTTTTGCATATTTCTTTTATAGTTTTCTATAAAAATTATTATTTTAATTAATACTTATTAAGTGCACAATATATTAATAATTATAAAAAATAATAAATATGTTTAAATTAAATTTAATAGTGAAAACTTTTACATTATTTAATTAAAAATGTACTTATTAAATATTATTTTGTATATTTATTTATGTATAAAATTTCGTTCAAATATAAAACTAATAATTGAATTAATAATTCAGTTCATTAAATTCATAAAATGCAAATAAAAAAAACTTCTATAAATATAAAAGAAAAATCTCAGCTAGCAGGATTTTTCACTTGCTGTTGTCTCTGCGGCTGCAGCAAAAGGGCAGAGCACTTGCATTTGGCTTAGCAGCAGCGGCATTTGAGTGAGAGTGAAGTTGCCGCAGGAACAGCAACAGCAACAGCAACAACAACGACAGCAACAACAATTAGTTAAGAAGCGCGCGCAGCTAAAAATGCTGCCTCGGCCGCAGCCACTGCCACTGCTGCGTCGCGACGCCAAAGTCAGAGTCACAGTCAAAGCCAGTGCCAACAGGTATATGAAGTTGTGCTCTCTCACTGACTTGCTCTCTCCCACTCTCTGTCTCTCACTCGCACTCTATGTCTATTCGAGGCTCTCTCGTACTCTTCGCCGCACATGTTTATCGCACACAGCTACAAAGCTAGCTGTAAATTTGTTACGTCGCCGCGCTACTTGCTCTGGTGTGCGTGTGTGTCACACAGGTGTGCGCGGCTGCGGCTGCGGCGAATTGGCTTCGTGTGCACCGCTTACATCACACACGGCCCAGCTTGACACACACATACAGAGAGAGAGAGAGAGAACCACCTAGGTATAGAAGCAAGCAAAGTGTGTGAAATAACGTTAGTTGCCGTTGCCCTCGCACTCGTGTGCGCCAGAGCGAGAGGCGACAGAACGTTGGAGAGCGCCAACTCTCGACAGAGAGGGGGAGAAGGGGAGGAAGAGGGAGAGTACATGTTAAATGCGGCGACTGCCTCTCAGCGACTCTCGCCGCAATCTTATTGCCATTCTAAGCGCGTTCTAAGCGCTCATTACAAGCCGACAACGCCGCTGCTTCTTCATTTTATTGCCCACACGCACACACTCACACTCACTCACACGCACACACATACACAGGCAGGCACAGCGAGTACGAGTGCGAGTGCGAGGCGCGTTGCCAACTATTTTGCCGTTTAATTTCGCTTATATGGTACTTATTGACGTTCTGTTCTTGTACTTCTACTTCTTGCGTATCTACGCGTCTTCGTAGCTATACACACACACACACACACGCATACAAACTGCTGTCGATAATGATGAAATGAAATTCTTAAAGGGTCTCATGGAAACAGACTTTGCTCTGGCAGCAAAAGTTAAACGACAAACATGCTCATGAACGGACATACAGACGTACGTACGCTCACACGTACATTTATATCTATATATAGTTATATAATTTGCTCGTGCAAAAGACAAAAGACTTAGGCAACAAACTTGCTGCACTATATTATATATATTGATAAGGCTAAGGGAAATATTTCATAAAAATTCATATGAAATAATTTAGACTAAATAATTTTTTGCACCAAAATAAAACAATATTTTTAAATTAATAGAATTAAAAATTAAATTATAATTAAATTAAAAACTGTAGATCAATAATTATACGATGGGCATAATTTTTAGGGTATAATGAATATATATTTAAATGTATGTGAAATTATAAATGCCTGACCAAGGCGCCGAGTTGAGTCTATATAGCCCTGTCTATATGGCGGTCTACGAACGCGTCGATCTTAGAACTTAGGAGAGCTAGATTCTTCAAATTTTTTATTTAGTTCTATTATTCAATTAACTCATTTATTCTATTTTTATTCATTTCATTTATTTAATTATAGTTATAAATATAGCTAAAAATTGATCAATAATTTATTTAAAATCATTAAAAGAATTGTAGATACATCATTTCTTATTTAACAATTTATTTTTAGTTATATTTATTTATAATTATAATTATATTTATCTACAATTATCTATGCATATTTATTCAGCAATTATTTGCTTCAGCTTTTTATCGAATACTTAACAGATTTTTTTAAACGATTTTTTAAGATTTTTTTTTTAATTAAAACTTTTCGAGCTAGAAATCTGTAGCTCTGAATATATAAAAATATACATCTTCACATGTATATATACCCTTATATATATATATACTTATGAAGAACAGTTTCTGGTCAACATTGGACACAAACACAATTATGCTGTAAAATCTACGTACAAAAGTAAATTGTACTTTTTTTTATATCATTTGCAGTCAAATGCTTATTTCAGAGTCAAGACCAAAGACATAACAGCAACAACAGCAACTTAAAGCAGCTCTAAGTACAACAAGTACAAGCCAAACGCAAACACACAAAACAAGTAAAACATCCCAACCGGCAAATGGCCAAAGCAGCGACGCGACGGCGGCGGTGGCCAAAGTGAGCAACAGGCAACAACAACAACAACAACAGCGACGTCAGCGACGATAAAACATTACCTCTACCTTGACTCTGAACCAACAAGAAAAACACGCACGCACACAAGACACACACACACATACACATCCACACGCACACACAGAGAGACACACACGCAGAGCGGCGAACAAAAAAAAAGAAGAGACGCAGCGAAAAACAAAAAAACTGCATGAGAAACGTTATGTGAGCGAAATGAAGCAAAGGCAATACAAGCAACAGCAACAGCAACAGCCACAACAACAACAGCTACGATCGTAGTAGACGACGCAGCTCCAAAACACTCTCACTCTCTCTCAGCGGCAACATCGGCTACGGCATCGGCATCGGCTCAGGTGCTGCTGAGCGGTGCTGAGCAGCAGTCGTCTAAAACCGTTCGCCGTTACAAGAGCAGCAGCAGAGCCGAAGCTAAACCCGAAGCCATTGCGCACGTTCGTCTTCGCCCTGACTCACAGACGAAAGCGAACTTGAGCTCGACTGCTCTTGCTTTTGCTCTCTCTCTCTCTCACTCGCTCTCTCTTTGTGTGTAGTTTCAAGTGCGGCTTACGGTGTTTTGCGTTGCTCGCCTGAATTCGCCTCTAAAACTAACTGAGTTTGTTGTAGAAACTGACGCTGCCGTTGCTGCTGCCGTTGCCGTTGCCGCTGCCGTTGCCGCTGTCGTTGCCGCTGCTGCTGCGACGCTTCGCAGCGGTATTGCTTGACTTTGGCCTAACTGCTCAGCGGCTGGCAACGCTTGAATACAGTAAGAGACGAGCCGGCGTTGTGAATGCACGTGTTTTGTCGCTGGACAGCAAAACAGCAGACACAGCCACAAATAACTTTGCCAATAAAAATAAAAAACAGAAACACAAACAATAAAAGAACGGTTACAATTTACACACAAAAATAAAAAACGCGTTAAATAAATCGTATAAAAATATCAAGAATTATTCTTGAAAAAAACTGCAAATAAAAACTGCCCAGCACAAGAAATTAACAATTTACAAAAAAATATATTTTATAAAATATATTTGACAAATTTTTTTATTTTTTACTTTTTTTTTTTTTTTGTTCAAAGTGCATATGTAAAATATAGATATATAACAATATATCTATCTATCAGTATCTGATTGATTGCAACTGAAAGCAAACTTTGGAAATGATGAAGAAACACAAAAAATTTTAAACTGAGCCGCGCTCAACCAAAAATATTATTTGCTCCATATATATATACAGATATATTTGTATATATAAAAAGTTCTATATTTTTTTTGTCAAATATCCCAACTGATCGAAGAAGCAGAAGAAGCAGCAGCTAAGGCAACAGAACACACACACACACAGCTTTAAACAGACACGCACTTGGATTAGTGTTTTGTTTACTGTGTGTGTAAGTGCGCGCGTTCGTCTCTGTGTTTGTGAGTGTGTTCATATGTGTGTGTGTGTATGTGTGTTAATAAACATAAATAATAATAATAACCACAACAACAACAACAACAACAATACAAATATCAATATCAACCACAACAACAACAGCAACAACTAAGCAAACATGCCGAAAATATTTTTGATCAAAAATCGCCTGCATCAGCAGCAGCAGCGTCTGCTGGAATCACAGAATCTGCTGCAGCACAAGGCGCAGGACGATGAACGTTGTTTGGTGCCGCCGCTCAGTCCGAGCGCCTCGCACTCACGTCGCACTGATCACCAGGCGCCCCTATCGCCCACACCGACGCCGACACCGACACCGACACCGACGCCGACGCCGACGCCGACACCAACACCAACACCCGCGCATCCCGAGCCGGAGCCAGATCCGCAGGGTCAGGCGGAACAGGAGCAGCCGCTTAGCCTAATTGCCGCCGCATCAACCAACAGCACATCGACGCGCAAACGTTTCCATCATCGACGTCACTATTTTGGCCAAACGCGACACAGTCTCGAGCTATCGCAAGAGCAAGCCAACAGCAGCAGCAGCAGCAGCATCCATTCCAATTCCAATTCCACATCCAATTCGAATGTCGAGCCCGAGCAAGTTCAAAATGGTAAGTTGATCTACCCGATTCTGTCTGTTGTCACTTAGTTCAGCCAAAACGAATCTAATCAAATCAAATCAAATGACTTAGGCAACAAACCTCGCACAAAACATTGCCCAGTTCGTTGCCTCAGTCATTTGTCTGCTCACCACTTTATTGACCTTAAGCAAATGCCAAAATTAACAAGCGCCTGCACAAAAAGAATGCACATTAAATTCATCCAAAGTGAGATAATAGAAAACACACACAGAAAAAAAGTTGTACATTTTCCTTCTTTTTTCAACTTTCTTCTAAAACGAATTTCTGCGTTTTTTATGGAAGTTCTTTGTCAGCCAAATCAATTTCGATTTACGAAAAACTTTAGAAATATGCTTAATTGAGAAGTTTTTACACAAGAAAAAAGCAAAAAAACAAAAAACAAATAATACGTAGAAACTTGGGTGTTCATGTCTGTAAGATATTTTGTTTGCCTCAATTGTTCGTAAAAATGGTATTGTCAAAAGCTTTTCTTTTGCTTTTCTTAGTTTTTAATTGAGTTGTCGATTTCTGGGACTTTAATTTGTGCAGCGAAAATCAAGTTTTATTTTATTGAAATAATAAATTTCAAATTCATTCAACTTGGATTTTATGCTTATACAATACAAAAGTTTAAAAAAAAGACAACTAAGGAAACTTGCAATAAAAAATATAAAAAAAAACAAACAAAAACATCTATACAATTATCTTTTAAAGCCCAATTCTCCTGAAACGAATTTCTTTAAATAAAAAGCTTTTAAAGAATTTTTATGGAAAAAGTTCTAGCTAAAAAAAGATTTTTACTCAATTTTTGAGTGCTCAAATCTATCCTAAAGAAATTGGATATCCATTTTCAAATGTATAATAATATTTTTATCATTATGATTATTCTGAAGATTCTTAAGACTTAAGTCTTCCATCTTATTTTATGTCAGCTGAACAAAAATAATACCAATATTCTTATATTAAAGCAGAGATTCATAGATTTGCCTTCAGAAAAGATGTTTAGCTAATATAAAATAATATTCTTATATTATGGCAAACATTTTTAGATCTGGCATCTAGTCTTATGCTATCAGAAATTCTGTTTTTAGTTTCTATATAATACTATTCTTAAATTATAGCAACGATTTTTAAAGATAATATTAATATTAATATTATTATTATATTATACCAAAGATTCTAAAGACTTACATCTATTTCCACGCTCTCAGAAAAAAACTAACTTTAAGGAGATCGTGCAGAAATAAATGAATAAATAAATAATAATAATAGATAATCAATATTGCTGTAGTATTATACGATATTATTATTATGATAGCAAAGGATTTTTGGCTTCCCAACTAATCTGATATTATTCATGTCCTATAGCAATGATTCAAGACAGAGTTTCTCAAAATCTGTTTCTTAGAATCTCGCTCTTATGTAACTGTTCTAGATGCATAATTTTTTGCATTGCCTTAAGGACAAATACACATTTCCTGCTCATTTGTTACACTTCCAGCTCTCATTACAAAACTCACAAAAAAATAGCCAAAAAAAAAAAAAAAATGGGAAAAAAATCTGACAGGCAAATAAATGCTTATGACCATATAATAGCCACAAATCAGTCAAGACAAATGCTGATGGCTATCTACAACAGACAGCAGACATCAGACAGCGGACAACAACAACGATAGGCCAAGCTACCAATTCAGAGCTACAAAGCCAAGCTAAGCAGCAGCTACAACAACAACAACAGCAAATTAGGCAGCGTCTCGAGCATTTGTTGACGCCCACACGACACGACCCTTGGCTGGCTTTTGTTGTTGTTGTTGTTGTTGCTGTTATTTTTGCTTCTCTTCTGCTTAGATTCTGCGCCGAAGCTGTGGCCAACATCAATCACTTTCATTGAATCGCCAAAAAACAACAACAAAACACAAGCAACAACAACAATTTCTAGAAATCTGTTCAGTCTGGCTTATATAATCGACGAGGCGGCTTATTAAGTCATTTCTTGACCATGGTTAAAAACCCTGATAAAAACGAAAAGAACCAAATATGCTAGAAATATTTACATATATGTATATATGTATATATGTATATATATATATATACATAGATGGGCATATTCATATCGAATATAACTTTCTTTTGGATTTAATCAGAATTTATAAATTCTTGAAAGTGAATTTTTCCCATCTTTATTTTTGTTTTCCACTTTATTTTTAGTTTTTATATTTGATATTTTTGTATGCTACACTTCACTGATTTGCCTGTCCGTGTGGCAGTTAGTGTGTGTGTGTGTTGGCTGTCAAGTTCGCTGCCTAAGTCTTTTGTTTCACATCGTCTGCGGCTTAACTGCCCTTTGTCTTAGCGCGCGCAAAAAAAAACAGTATATATATATATAGATATCATAATTACATGTAGGAATAACTATAATAAACCGAATAGCATAGAATGGTGTGCATAAAATGGAATAGAATGGTATAGAGTGGAATACTAGACATGGGGTAGAATGTACACATAACAGAAGCGAGCAGAGCAGAGCAGAGCGGTGCGGTGCGGTGCGAGGCGGTGCGAGGCGAAGCTACTAAGGCTTGCCAACTGCTGGGGAAGTGGATGTGGAAGTGGAAATTGCTCGTCGTTCTTGTGGGGACCCCAACCGCAGCTCAAATCACACGCAGCCACTAAGCAACTTCTCTCTGTGTATGGGTGTGTGTGTGTGTGTGTGTGTGCAAGCAGAGCTAACGTTTAGAACCTGAAATTTGAGTTGGGTAATCTTTTACATAAGCACAGAGTTCGAAACAAAAACAACTAAATGCAAAAAGAAGAAGAAGAAGCTATTTTATACCTCTAAAACTCTGTGTGAGAGAAAAGGATGCAAAAAATAGGCTGAATCAATCGAAAATCTATATCTTATATTAAATATCTATCATATCAATTATACATCTTTATTTAATATTATTAATAAATATATAATATGCCATTATTATCATTTTTATTGCTTATTCAGTTTAATTTCTTTAAATTTCTATTCATAAAATATTTATCATATTTTTTCATATGCTTAAAGTTTTATTTCTCATATTTTAACTGATGAAGTTGATAGAAAAATTATATATTTAAAAGTTGTTCTGCCTAACTTAAGCAAGTTCTTTTAAATATCTTGACGCATTATATTATTTAAATGCATTTAAAAAACAAATAAAAAATTAAAAATTACTTAGATATATATTAATACAAACATTAATTTATTAATCTAATTCTCTACTTCCAAAAAAGTAATTTTAAGCTATGCTCACTTAGATATATATGAATACAAATATAGTCGAATCTCAACTTCGCTTAATCGAGAATCGCTATAAATCGAAAATAATTCTATCTATTCCCTTGAATGAAATTTGTTCCCGATAATTTGAATTTCTGTGTAAATCGAAAAAAAACTGCTGACATTTCGAATTATCGAGACTCGACTGTCTACACTTGATAATCCAATTCTTTAACTCTAAAGATGGCATACAAACAGTCAATCAATGATGCAATCCATTCAATATAAGATTGCATCATATTGATCTATCAAGTCCACATCATAAACTAACTCTTAGGTTTTCTTAATTTATGTATTGCATTACTTAGATAATTGATGATTCTTCTTCCTCTTGCTGTTTTCTAACTATAATTTGCAACAAGTTGCAGCATTACAATTTACTTACAATATGCTCCAAGCTTCCACATTTTTTTGCTAATTTTACTTTAACCGGAGCCACCCTGTGGCTAAGCACACACTAACTGACAGTGAGACGGACAGACAGACGGCTCATACAGTTGGTTAGTTTTGAACGTTCCTTCTGTGCGCAGGCCTTGCATTACGGGGCCTGACTCACTGGCTCAGTGGGCTCTGCCTTAGCGGTTAGCGGCCAAGAACTTCACACACTTGAGCGCACATACAAAGCCAGGCACACACACAGAGAGTGGGAGAGTGGGAGAGTGAGAGAGTGAGAGGGGGGGGCAACATAATATATTTATATGTGTGTATATATAAAAAGTTAGTTAAAGTTGGCAATGGGCAAATTATACAATATAACAATGTGCCTCAGCGCCTAAGCCACAAATCTCTGGCTGAGCCCAAGCAAAAGTACAAGTTGAGAGCAGCTCTCGAATGCGGCACTAAAAGCAAATGAGAAAAGCAGAAGATGAAGTAGAAGTAGCAACAGCAGCAGCAACCAAAGTGGAAGTGGAAGCAGAAGCAAAAAGGCTGACTGACTCTCTAGCAAAAATAGCAGAAAACTTGCAGCTAGCTGAAGCGCATAATCAAGTTAAAGATGTTTATGATGATGATGATGATGATGATGATGATGATGATGGGGCAGGGTCTGGGGCTGGGTTTCTTTCTGCCAAGCTGACTTTGGGCGTTGCTCCTCGTCGGCCATTTGGCCAAAGCGCAAGGCACTAAAGCAAAGGCACAAAGGCAAAGTCAAGGCAAACGAAAAGTGGTAGAACCAGTAAACCAGCCAACAACAACAACTGGCAACACGATTCCGATTCTTGGCAAGGGCATGCCACACGAGAAATGTAGATGGCCAACAGCGACGAAAAGAACACAAAAAAAAAAAAAACCCAACACACAACAAACCAAAGCGTACAGAACGTGGCCCAAACCGTGTCTCAAGTGCAACATAATGTTGCTGCCGCTCGTTGCCGTTGTTGCTGTTGTTGCTGTTGCTGCTGTTGCTGCTTCTGCTGTTGCCACGGCCATAATTGCTGTTTGCCAGCGTCTGTGATTTTTGCTCCCATACACACACACACACACACACATGCACCCTGAGTACTTGCCTTATAAATATACATATGTATATAGCTAGAGCTCTATAACTATGCTTGAGTACACAGCTAAAACAAAACAACAACAACAACAACAAGAAGAAGAACTAAAGGGTGTTTGGCTTAATGCCTTTTTCTACACTCAAATCTCGCCTGGTTAAGCTATATTTCGACCTGACTTGACTTGGTTT